AACAGTCTGAGGCAATTTTTTGCATAACTTTAGATCATGTTATTAAAGTCAACTTATCAACTTCATTATAACTTAATGCATCTTGCATAACAAAACGAAACATTTTTATCATCTACTTCTCCAATTTATTTGCTGATCCTGTTGCTTTTATCTGCTAAAGTTTCCTTGTACCTGTCCTATGTCCCCCCAGCACCAACCACCCTTATCAAACTTACTCTCCCCTGCAGGTAGACTGTCAGGACAGTGACCTAATTTATCCACAACCCTCCTGCCCTCCTCTAAATCTCCTCACAACACAGGAAGAATGCTTGTTCAGAATACTGTGTCATGTGACCTTGTCCCTGTCCAACGTCCCAAAACACCTCCTAACCAAGTCCTCCAGGGCCAAACACCTCTCTCCTCTCTGGCCCTCATCTCACCCAGGCCCTGGTCTCTGAGTCGGAGACGCACCCTTTGATTGACCCCCCCTATGTTAGTCCTGCCAATCACCTTCCAGGAAACTGTAATTACAGGACTCCTTTGGGAATGTTTAGAGTCTCCTACTAAGCATCTGGCTCCATAAGGCCAGGAGGGTTTGTTTTATGTGATTTGTAGTCATATTTTCATATTTGTTCAATGGATTCTAGAATCATAGGTTCAAGAACTTGAACTAGATATGGCTTAAAGTTTACTGACATCATAAGTAAATGTCATATTTTGACGTCTGGAGTCAGAACCTAAAAAGAACACTAGGTATTATAGAAATAAATGGGGTGCCCTAAGGTTCTTTGAATAATATTTAAAACAGTGCTCAAACCTCCTAGTTAAGAAGAATATGCCATAGCCGGGCGATGGTGGCGCACGCCTTTAATCCCAGCACTTGGGAGGCAGAGGCAGGCAGATCTCTGTGAGTTCGAGACCAGCCTGGTCTACAGAGCTAGTTCCAGGACAGGCTCCAAAGCCACAGAGAAACCCTGTCTCGAAAAACAAAACAAAAAAAAAAATCAACAACAAAAAAAAAAACAAAAAACAAACAAAAAAAAAAGAAGAAGAAGAATATGCCAGGGCTGGAGAGATGGCTCAGAGGTTAAGAGCACTGACTGCTCTTCCAGAGGTCCTGAGTTCAATTCCCAGCAACCACATGGTGACTCACAACCATCTGTAATGAGATCTGGTGCCCTCTTCTGGCCTGCAAGTATACATGCAAGCAGAACACACTGTATATGTAATAAATAAATAAATCTTTAAAAAGAAGAAGAATATGCCAGGCGATGGTGGTGCACACCTTTGATCCCAACACTTAGGAAGCAGAAGCAAGTGGATCTCTGTGAGTTCCAGGCCAGCCTGGTCTGTGGAGCGAGTTCCAGGACAGCCAAGGCTACACACAGAGAAACCCTATCTTGGGTGGGTGGGTGGGAATAGCTATAGCTGAGGACACCGTCAAACTATTAACACTGGTGGTTTCAAAAGTGGAAGACGGGGTAATTGAGAGTGAAACATTTCCAGAGATGGGAAGAGGACTTTTTTGTGAATACCCAAAAGGCTTAAAATAGTACTTTTCCATTTTAAAAGTATGTGAATGAATTACCAATTTTAAAAAGAATGACAACGGGATATATAATATATAATTCCATGTATGCAGAATTCCAGAAAAGACAAAACAGAATGCAGTGAAAACAGTCAGAGCAGGGCTAGAGGAGCAGCTTACTGTGCTCAGCATGTCACAATGTAATCCAATGTAATCATTTTAAAATACTAATCTCAGAATAATAGCCCTGAGGGGGGCCATTAGCTCCGACCCTCCAGCATTATCCCTGGTTTACGCCTTTCTTTCCCTTGCCCCAAGTGCGTCCATGTATTTGGTAAGAGAGCTTACACATTGATGCCCCACTTTGATTGTTAATTCTAACACTCGCAGGTGCCCAGGCACTTTCGTAAGTGATATTCCCCTGTGCGAATTCTCCTCTGACACCACCTCTGCCTCTGCCTCTCTGCTGCTCACACTCTAGAGTCTAGACTCTCACATGGAGGAGACAGTAAATGAGGCAGTGGGCAGCAGCACGACCTATTCAGTTAGCAATTCAGTTCCCTGCATCTCACACTGCATACTTGTAGCGTGGATTTAGGTCACCATCCAGGAAGGAAACTCCTCTAACCTGCCAAGGGTTAAGTTACCGAAAACCACGCTGCTGACTGCCAAAAGTGTTCAAGCCAGCCACATGAGCCCCATTGGTCACCAAAAGAAAACAAGGGAGGCATTCTTCAGAGAGGTCAAGTCACCCCAGGTACAGAGGCAGAACTCATGGCCAGGTCAAATCCACGGTGGACGCCACCACCGTCATCCTGGGGGTGGACGCCACCCCTGTCACCCAGGGCAGCTGGCATCTACGCTTCCTTGGAAAAGCAGGGCACTTGTTTTTACTCTTGGGTCACACTGTCTAATTCGGGTCTGTGAGAGCCACTGGCCACGCGAGACCACTTGTGTCTCAACAGTTTCAGCTTTTCAGTCACACTCACACATTCCAAGTGCAGTAACAGCGCCCGCGGTCAGGAGCCCACAGACACAGAAGTTAGATTGGGGGTGCTATTCCAGGAAGAAGAGGAAGGCACTCCCTCCACCCAGAGTCCCAGATAATGCTCAAAACTTTTGCTTTGGGAAAAATAAAGCTCAATCCGAAACAGTTAACTTGTTAGGCACTTTACTTAGCACAACAGGAATGTAAGATACTCGTGGCTCAAAGCTGGGGCCTCTCCACTTACTGGGGTTCTAACAATCACAGCACGGCATACACTCTTGTCACCTCTGACCCTTGTGTGGAGGTAGATGCAGAATGCTGATTGAAACTGAGCTTGTGGCTCCAGTTTGTCTGTCTGTCTGTCTCTTTCCTCCTCTCTCTCCTTCTCTACATGTGTCTGTCTAGGACATACCTGTTCACATGGGTGTAGGCCTGTGAGTGTGCATGTGTGTGGAGGCGTGAGGCTGATTATTGGGGCATTTCTTCAGTCACCCTCTTCCTTATTCATTGAGGCAAAGCCTCCCGATTGAAACTGGAGTGCTCTGATCTGGTTCATCTAGCCAGTTTGCTTCTAGGATTTTGTGTGGACCTTTTGAGTGCTGGGATTACAGGCAAGCTGCAGCGCCATGCGGTTCTAAGGATCTGAACAGCAGTCTTCACATGTGAGGGTTCAGAACATAGCTTGCTGGGCCATAGCCACTTTATCTGTCTTTAAATTCCGTCAAACGAAACGACAGCTCTCGAAAGCATACCACCAAAACAGGACAACAGTACCGTGCCATTTCTCCATCACCTTATAAAAAGGGAAGAATGTTTGTTTCTTGACTTCAAGTATGTTTTAAAGCAAGATAAAATTTGATGCAACTATCATTAGTAATTTCACTTCAACTGCCGAATTTTCTGAGAACTAGTAAATTCCAGGTTTCATTCAGCCAATGACTGGAGGTTATCATCTAAAAGTTTAAGTGTACTTGGCAAAACTATGTTTAACCTCCTCATACCCCAATCTTCTATCCCATAAAACACTTAGTAATATCTACTTAAGCACTGAACTGATCATTTCGTGGAATGAATATGTAAGGCATGTAAACACCCACTAAGTGGTAATTATTGCAATTGCTATTTTCCAAAGTCACAGAGTATCAGTGCAAATATCTAAAAGACTCTGAGTTAGAAAAAAAAAAAATCCTGACTCTACCACCTGCTAGTTGTTTGGGTTTTTACCTTGTGCAGTTCTGTTTCTTCGTCGGCTAGTTAAAGCTGAGCCTGCAGCCAGGGAGATGGCCCAATGCACAAAAGCATTAGCCATACAAGTCTGACAGCCTGCATTCAGCCCCTGGGACATACACAAAGACAGGACGGAAGCCGTGGCATGCATCCATAATCCCTGCACTTCTGCTCTGGGAGATGGAAAGCAGAGACGGAGAATCACCCAGAAGGTTCACCTACCACAGTCTGGAGTGCACAGCAACACAAACAAGATGGATCCTGCCCCGACAAGGTGGAAGCTGAGAACGCAGCTGTCCTTTGACCCCTGATGTGCACGGGCGGCACTCGTGCACCCGCATTTACACACTCACACACCCGCATTTACACACTCATGACACACCATACACTAAGGAAGGAAGGAAGCTTGAGAAAATAAAATCTTAAGTCCCCGGTGGCAGATGTGTTAAATGTGTTTCTGCTTCACATAAAATGGTCTGTGTCAGTAAAGCCAGAGACAAAATTTATTCGATGTAAATTAGCCCTGTCCTCATTTCCACCAAAACAAAAACCACTGTTGCTTTATAGTATTTTTGGATAGAACCATATGTAACCCAGATTGGAAAAAAACACCTGCCAACACTGCCACCAGCTAGAACTTGTGAATAGATATTATGGTAACCATTTTCCTGGGCTAATCTTTATCTCCATGTGAGAAATTAGAAGCCTAAACAGACAAAGTAGGCCTCTGTCCATTGAATAGATAAAACAAGTACCAGCAACAGCAGGAGAAGAAACTATTGAAGTATTCTCCCCACTCCCAGGCAGACACATGCAATGAAGCTCTGACCCAGGATGAACATAGGCTAGAATCTCTCTGGTAAGCCACCTTGTGAGCTACAGCAGATTATTAGAAATGGGCTAGTCCAGGTGCGAGAGTTAGCCTAGAAGAGGCTAGATAGAAATGGGCCAAGCAGTGATTAAAAGAAAAAAAAATAAAAAAAAAAAAAAAAAAGAAACTATTGAAGTACAGAAGCTAATTATTAAAACACCTCGCTTGAAGGTGTGGAATTAAACCTACCACTTTATATAACTCCTGGTTGCTTACGTGAATGGCCACAGTACAGTGAGATAATATTCTTAAAATAAAACTGAAGACACAGTCAGCAGCAGCTTCTGTGCTTTAAAAGATGAAACGAGGCACACAAATCCAAATTCAGAAAAAATTGAAATTCCCAGCTGCGGTAATTGCACCTTCATAAGCACTACAGTAAGAAGAAAAACCAAACCCCATTTTACCTGTCTCCTGTTAGGGTTTCTAAAAGCAGCCGTCATTTTGGTGGTAACCATGATGAGCCAGGAAGACAAGGAGACTGGGGATTTGAATTGAATTTACAGCTGACTCATAGGGAGTGTTTACATCCATATTGCCACCGGCTCCACCCATTTGACACCCTTTCAGCTCCAGCCTGGTAGATAGTAACCTTAGGGGAAGCTGGGAGCGTGGAGGCGTAGGAAAACTGAACGCCAAGCCTTTTAAGGATCTAGACATGCTAACAGATGCTGGGTTTTTTCTCTTCCCTTCCTCTGCCCCCACTTCTTCCTTCTTTGATTTGAGTCAGAATGATCAAGTATGAGATGCTGATTTTGAGGCTTGAGGTGCCTCTGACAAAATAACTATCTTATCTCTCTGTGTGTCTCTCTGTCTCTGTGTGCCTCTGTCTCTATGTGTCTCTCTATCTCTGTGTGACCCTGTCTCTGTGTGACCCTGTCTCCGTGTGTCTCTCTGTCTCCGTGTGTCTCTGTCTCTGTGTGTCTCTCTGTCTCTGTGTGACCCTGTCTCTATGTGTCTCTCTATCTCTGTGTGACCCTGTCTCTGTGTGTCTCTCTGTCTCTGTGTGTCTCTCTGTCTCTGTGTGCCTCTGTCTCCTTGTGCCTCTGTCTCTGTGTGTCTCTCTATCTCTGTGTGACCCTGTCTCTGTGTGTCTCTGTCTCCGTGTGTCTCTCTGTCTCTGTGTGCCTCTGTCATTATTTCTGAGTGCCTCTCTGTCTCTCTCCCTCTAACACCCCCCCCAGGAGGAGGAGGCTTGAGAGGCTCACCATCCTTCATGTGACCCCCTCCTGAAATGACATGATACATAAACTATTTACTGAGGTGGGGCTCTTTGATGTTGAAGATGCCTGTAAGGGTCTGTGTGTGTGAGGAGGGAAGTTTGATGTTTTAGTTACCTTTAAGTCACCCATGCTCTCTGTAAATTACTCCAATAAACTTACTGGAGATGTATGAATGTGTGTGTGTGAGGGGGTTCACCTATGCCAAACACTTTCCTAAAAGAAAGGACAATAAGTGAGTACATTTTCTTTTTTCTTTTTTTTTTTTTAGTTTTTTCGAGACAGGGTTTCTCTGTGGTTTTGGAGCCTGTCCTGGAACTAGCTCTTGTAGACCAGGCTGGTCTCGAACTCACAAAGATCCGCCAGCCTCTGCCTCCCAAGTGCTGGGATTAAAGGCGTGCGCCACCACCGCCCGGCAAGTGAGTACATTTTCAACTCCACAATGATATTATAAGCATTCATACGAATGGCTGTTATTAGGCCTACTGAAGACGTTTGCTGTAGGGGTGGATGGCTCAGTGGCTGATTCAATTCCCAGCAACATGGCAACTCACAGCCTCCTGTAACTTCAGTCCCAGGGGACACCAGACGTTCTCTCTTAGCCTCCTCTGGCAACCTGCGTGCACATGATGTATACATAAAATAAATAGTTTTTTTCTAAAAGTAAGAAAGCTGTGCTGACCCATAGTCACAAGTGATAGTGAAAGAAATGCCAGGGGAAGTTTAGATCTTCCTCAACTATAAAACCTGTGCCATTTGGAGTTATCAGAATAGGGTACCTGTGTTCACACTCTGGTCTCTAAGAAATATAGTTTGATATGGAAGACAAGTGTAAGGGGCTGGAGAGATGGCGAGGTGGTGAAAACACTTCCTGTTTCTACAGTGGACCCAGGGTACACTTCCCAGCATGCATAAGGTGTCTTACAACCACCTGTAACCCCAGTTCGGGGACTCTGACACCCTTTTCTGGCCACCACAGACTCCTGTGCTCACATAATACACAGACATACACTCAGGCAAAACACAAATCTCATACAAATAAATATTTTTTTAAAAAGACAAATGTAAGAAATAAATGGATAAAAGCGTGTGTGTGTGTTCTCTAATATGGAGATGAATATGGTGGGGAAACAGAAGGGGACCACCTCGCCTGGAAGAGAGAGTTGCGCTCGTCCACCTGCCTACATCCTGTCCGCGTGTTTATCATAGGTGCAGTTGCCTCATGTGGAACCTTAGCTCCTCGTCCACACCAGTTGGTTCCAGGGAATAAGCTGGGAAGTTTTTACCCTGAAGGTTTGCGAACCACAGCTAGAAATGTAAAATTCATTGTCCTCTCATTAGGAAAAACTAAGGATGTGAATGAACCCAGAGGTCCCAGCTAATCTTTGAGAAGCAAAATGAGAGGGGAAACAGCACAAGACTCCTGGTTCCAGCCGGTTGTGTCCTTCCTTAGCCCCCTGTTTTTCCCTCTGTTCAATGCCATAAACTTCCCGACAGCCTTTGAAAGGCTCAGAAGCCCATCCTTTATCTTATTTATTTTTAATTTTGTTTTGGTTTTTGGTTTATTGCTTTTTCGGTTTTTAAGACATGGTTTCTCTGTGTAGCCCTGGCCGTCTTGGAACTTACTTTGTCGACCTGGCTGGCCTTGAATTCAGAGATTGACCTGCTTCCCAAGTGCTGGGATTAAAGACGCGTGCCACCACCACCCAGCTTACTTTTTGTTGTTTTTGTTTTATGATGGGGTCTCACTGTGGACTTTTTTGTTTGTTTCTTTTGTAGAACTTTAAGACAATTCTGAAGCCATTTCTGACAACTCTCAGTACTTCCCCTCCTCCCCTGGGAACCAAGGACATAACAGCTATGCATGCACATACTGAGATGTTGGGAACTTTCCATCTCCCTGAATAGGGGCAAGATAACCCTTAGGTGTTGACTCAGTTACTGATGTTTTGACTTACTCCCTGGGAAGAGGCAAAGTGACCCTCAGAAATTTCCCCCTTACCTCATCTGATCTGGCAACCACTCTCCAGCCAATTATTGGTAATAGCCTTTCTGAATAAGCCAATCATAATAGTTAAAGAACAACCCCCAGACACCCCTTCCTTCTGTGATTTTTCCCTTTAAAAATAGCCTGTGCCAGACATTCAGGGTCTTCTAGCCTCCCAACTGCTGGAAGACCCTGTCATGACAGAATTAATAAAATCCTCATGCTTTTACATCAGCTATGATGAGAGATGGTCTCTTGGGGCGACTCCTCCTCCTCGGTGATTGGACACTAGGGTCCAACACTTTGTTTTCTTCAAGACAGAGTTTCTCTGTAGTAGCTTTGGAGCCTTTTCTGGAACTAGCTTTTGTAGCCCAGACTGGCCTCAAACTCACAGAGATACACCTCCCAAGTGCTGGGATAAAAGGCGTGCGTCAACACCGCTCAACAACTTTTTTGTTTGTTTGGCTGGTTGGTTTGTTTGGTTTATGTAGGGTTAAGAAAATCTGAAATCTTGAAATCTCACCAATCCCTGGCTTGCCCCAAGCTCAGGACTTGAAATCCCCACCCTGGAAAATTCCACCCCGAAGAAACCCTATATAAAGCCTGTCTCCTGTTCAGTTCTTTGACGCTTCTCACCCAATTAGAGGCATCCACCCTCTTGTGTCTTTTCTAATAGGTCTCTCGAGAGGTTTGTTGTGCAGCGTGACTGCGGTTTTTCTTGATTCTTTCCCCTCAGAGCTGCAACACTTGCATTAGGGAAACCGTTCCCCTCGGACCTTTCCATTCAGAGCTCCAACACTTACAGTTTTGATTCTTGAAACAAAGTCTCGCATAGCTTCACTGGCCTTGACCCATATGTAGCTAAGGGTGGTGGTAACCTGCTCCTCCTGCCTCCACTTCTCCAATGCTGGAATCGCAGGTCTGGGCAACCACACCTAGTTGATGCAGTTCTGGGGATCAAACCCAGAGCACTGTGCATGCTAAACAAGCACATTACAAACTGAGCCTCTTCCCCAGCCAAAAACAATTTTTTTTTCATTTTTTTAAAGACAGGGTTTCTCTCTGGCTGTCCTTGAACTTACTTTTAAACTGCCAGGTGGTGGTGGTGCACACCTATAAAGGCAGAGGCAGGCGGATCTCTGTGAGTTCGAGGCCAGCCTGGTCTACAGAGTAGTTCCAGGATAGGCCCCAAAGCTATACAGAGAAACCCTGTCTCGAAAACAAAACAAAACAACAACAACAACAAAAACCCAGGCTGGCCTCAAACTTACAGAGACCCACTTGCCTCTGCCTCCCGAGTTCTGGGATTAAAGGCATGTACCACCACTGCCCAACCATTATTTTTAATACATTACACTAGGCATTTTTTTAGTCACCAGGGATAGATACATATGACACACATCCTCTAATCCAACCTTTGGTGGTCCTTGCTGTCTGTTATTCATCCTTGTGACTCTCGCATGGAATAAAACCTAGTCTTTCTGGCAATAAAACATGGCAGAAATGCTGCAATAACTTGGGATCAGGATTATCGCACCATCATCTTGTTCTTTTAGGTTCACCACATGTGATGTGCTCTGTGAGAAAAGAAGACACAGATACCCCGTCAGATTTCAGAATCGGGCCTGCAAGATAGCTCAGCAGGTGAAGGTGATGCTGGGACATCCTGACAACCCCAGTCCTCTCCAGATCCCCCGTGGAAGGAGAAAATTTGACTCCCAGAGTTGTCCTATGACTTTCCCATGTACACACCGCAGCGTGTCTGCCCCACATGCACAGATGCTGAATACAATCTTGTCTTCACTCAAAATCTGGGCTAGAGAGGTGACTCAATAATTTAGAGCATTTAGTTTTTGTTTTGTTTTGTTTTTGGCAGAGAATCTGGTTCAATTCACCAACCCCCACATGATGGCTCACAACTAACCATACCTCCAACTCCAAGAGATCCTTCTCCCTCTTTTGACTTCCTCAGCACACACACATGTAATACACAGACATACATGCAAGCACAAAATTCATACACAGAAAATAAACCTAAAAAAGAATCAGAACCCACTTAGCAGCTGTGTCAATGAGTCACTATGGAACCAGATCCTTCATCCCAGGCATGGTTTTGGTGACTACAGCCCTGACCCCAGCTGACAGCATGCCATGAGGACGAAGGAATCAGAAAACTGAGGCTGAATCCCTGACACTTAGAAACCTTAAAGGGAACTACATGTTTCTTGTTGTTTTAATACATTAAATGTTGGGGTGACTTGTTATCGTAAATAGTGAGTAACTGATCTAACATGACAGTGACAGAAACTGCTTATTCTTGCTTTCATG